GAATTTAGCTTGAAAACCACAGCTTTGAAGCCTCATGCGCGCCATACCCGGGAACAGAACTGTAGCTACTTGTAGCTACCCTGGGTCCGTATAAATACTATGTTGCTATACCTCTTACACACCTATACAAGTTCAAAGCACGAATGAGACTTCAAAGCTGTGGATTGCTGTGCGTGTGTAGAGGTTCTCAAGCGGTTGACGGAAAGGCAACTTGAAGTACTATACCTGGTAGCTGCACTATGGCTACCCTAGGTCTCTATACCTTGCAAGGTGCCAACTACACCTTTCCATTCAGATGATGCAAATGATGCATTTGGCATTTCTTGCATCACCACCCCTCAAAAATCACCTCCAACACAACCTCAAAAAACCTTTCCTCGAAGCACCCTCCTCCCCCAGCATGTGCCGAGTTGACGTATACCTTTCTCGGGCCACCCCCCCAGACCCCCTAACTACTCACTTCGTTCGCCAGACACAACTCCGCTAGCGCCTTCTACGAAGGCTGGCTTTCGTAACCATGCAAGATGTGGAAAGGCTTGAAGGTGCGGGATAGAGTCAGCAAGTCGGTGTTGTGATCTTGTGTGCTCTCTACTCTCACAATCGCAAGAAGCTTCAAGCATGGTGTGCCAAAACTGCGCAGGAGGGGGCAAGGGCATATCAAACAGAGCGATGTCTGTCCAAGCATGTCCAAACTCATTTTGGGGTGCAAATTGGCTTGAACTTCGAGCTTTTCACGCAGGCGTCGCACCCAAGCCAACAATAATTCAGTCAGAGAATGTGCCGAACCCATGTGCGGAACCCGCCTGGATCAAAGCCGTTCTGTGTGCCGGTGCTCGATTTTGTTTTCAAGTTTTCAAGCCAAAGCACCAAGGATGTCGTGTGGATCGTCACAAATCCCAGACACTCCATGTTTGTCACACACACACACGCGTTTACATTGACCCATTTCAATCACCCCAAAATATACCAAACTGGATAATACATGATAATACGTGGAAATCGCAACAACACTCATGGACTGTGATCTCTTCAGCCTTCGATCCGCGTCGAGGTGTCCTGTTTTGCCGGCCACGGTATCCATATCCCAAACTCCATGTATGGACCTGTATGGAGTAGTATGGCATGCAAACCTATAATTGTTTTCTTTTTTTAAAGGGGGTCAATGTATATTAGTCAGCGGGTCTATGATACTAAATGAAAGAATGGCAGACACTCATCTCATTCCAATGTATCCCAACTTGGGTGGTACTTGCAACATCGCCCTAAGAACGTACCCTAGAAAATGGGATAATATAAAAACAGGTCTATTCCCTAGGGCTCCTGGCCCATATCCTCAGGTTCGGTGGTTAGACCCCCCTGGCACCCACCCCAACCATCTTCTCAGGAGGTGGTTGGAGCCCTAGGGATTATAAGTATACTCCTTTTCTGTAGTACTTGGATGCCCGTTTCGCCTTTCCCAAACGCCCATGCCCCTCGGTCGCAGCACCAGAGCGGAGCAGGACCTACGGGCAGCGTACGCGTCGGTGGCTTTCGGTGGAGAGACCAGCCGCCGCAGTCGCATGCCGCTGCTCACCCCAGCGCTCCAAGTACTTCCTCGAAAGGTATCCCTACTTTCGTCAACGAAACACATGGTCTCTGTGATCTTTCGTGAGATTCACCCGATGTAATTACATGCTATAATATAGCTTACTGTTTCGGCAGAAATCCAATACACGATAACGATCACATGATTGTTTAAGACTCATTAAGAGGAAACTAGTAGTGTTGGGTTGGTGAGCTGCAGTGCAACTCTAACCACAGCTGATGGGCAACTATAACTTAATATGCAACCCCTGAGACAAAAACTGTAGCATTGTCTAGACAGGGTGAGTCACGACTGGAACTGTATCGACTGCCATCACGGCTGGGGCGGCGAGTCTAACCGTCTAACTCGCCGTCGTCTAACTCGCCGTCGTCTAACTCGATGTCTAGGGACGCCCGATCCGTTGAGTTTCCGCCCCCTTCTGCAAGCTTAGAAGCTGCAAAGAGTTTTAGAGTCAAGCACTGGAATTGGAGTGGAGAATGGTCAGACCAAAGGGCGTGAAGACTACCCCCCCACGTCCAACCTGAATGGTCAAACCAAAGCAACTTTAGGATCAAAACGGCGGACCATTTCCCAAATCACATGTGTAATCATAGTACCCTAGGGATCCAAGTCCCTTCTCAGGTACAGTGAGGTGTTCAACACTGAGACATGAGACGGTGCCCTTGTCCGTCGGGTCTTGTCGTACCGAACCTGAGAAGGTATCAGAAGGTACGACTGGATCCCTCGGATCTTGTCGTACCGTCCGACACAGTCCTCATTCCGACACTTACCCTCAGACACTTACCGACCGCGATGGGACTGGCGCATGTGATGTAGCTTTGTAGGGTCCAGTCGTACCGAAACTGAGAAGGTACAGCTGGATCCCTACAGTAGGAGTAGAATATTGCCTGGGATTTCAACAACCTATAATGGGTCTGAATCCCAAACAACCTTTGCTTTACGAAGGATTCCAGGTCCATTGACCATTCTTTTAGAAGTCGACCTTGAAGGCTAGGGAGCCTATCAGTTGAGCTTCCATACTAAAAAAAAATGGGTGTCTGGCAAAAGAACTATATTAAATGCATGGTGGTTGGAAGACTACGGATAATTCTGGATATAAATAAATGTAATGTATGCATGCATGGACCATGGAATAATTAACATATATGCCTCCAATGATCCCTTCTCTACCACAGCAATGTAGGCACAAATAAATACCAGTCCTGTTCAGTGTCTGGTCTGGGATCGGAGGTGTGGTCCGTGGTGGCTCCATCAATCACAGTCTCCTCTCCCTCCGATACTGATGATATTCTTATTTTCTATAATCGGAGCCGCACTGGCATGTGGAATTCACCTGGTGAATGCCACACGAAGCCTTCCAAGACCATTTTTGACCAAATGGTTGTTCAGGATTGAGAGCTCAATCAATGGTGGGCCAGGTACGACCGGAGCCTCCTGGCACCGTCTCATGTCTCAGTGTCTCCCTGCTCACCTAACTACTGAGCTTCGGTACGAACACGGATCCCGGTGGGGTCATGGCACGCTATGGTGTGATGCCTCCCACTGAGTCCAACTTGCTTCACCCCTGCGGACCGTTGGGCGCCTCCATGACTTCCAAGCGCCCACGCTTCGCCGCCAGATGCAACGGAAAGGCGCCGACCTGGTGGCGAAGCGTACGGGGTCGGACCCTTCATTCTCCCGAAACGCAGGGGGGAGTCTGGAGCCGAAGCAAACCCCTACAAGTCCAAAGACCCAGTAAAACCTGGTCCTTTACCTCCTTGACTAGTGTTTTTGTATGACCAACTTCAGGAAAATGAGGTCATTGACTTGTAGGGAACCATTCACATTGGTTTCGGTCCCAGATTCGTTGGGAGCACATCACTGGAAGGTGGATTGGTTCACAACCCCAGCTCCAAGCTGGACACCGGGATCGATCCCGGGTCAAAACGAAGAACTTCCAAACCCCCAACGAAGTCTAGTGATAGACGTGCACCACCGAAGTGTCCAGCACCTTCCTGGCATTGGATTACCTCAGCACCTTCCGTTCGTCTGGTGCTTTCTGGACAACCCGGTCCTCACCTCAAATAAGAGGCTATTTCATTTCAATCTAGACATCTTTTGGATGGTCCGGGTACAAGCAGTTGTGCATGAACTGTTTGTACCATCCAAAGCCATTATAGTCTTCAAATATAGTTCTCGATCTTGTGTAAACAGACCATTTCAGGGTAAGGGATGACCGGTGCCCATCCGACGCCTGGGTGAAGCCGACGCCAAAGGCGCCGCTATCCGCCGGGGCATTGGGATCCGCACCTTAGGCTGACCAGTTTTCAGGCAGTGACCGTTGATAGTCAAGGCCCAGGCGCGACCCGAACTCGGACCCCGTTTAGCAACTGTATACATGTTGGTGAAGGTTCACCCTATAGTTGTGAGGATCAAAACGGACCGCGAACTGAGGGTCCAATGAGCCTTTGGGGGGGTGCAGTCCCCGCTGATAGGATGGTTTTACTTGATCCCTGAAGGGTCTAGGACCTCCGTTGCTCGGATGTCCTGGCATTCTTCAGCCCCAGTGAAAGAACATTCCTCCAAGACCATCCGAAAAAGAGATCATTAGACTACAACACCGTTGGGGCACACCACGGTACTGCAAACACGACCTGTCTGGGACTGGCAGATACCTTCATCTGGGGTGGTTGAACAGGGGTCACGGTCAATTGATCAGTAAGTATGCGCCAGTCCCATCACGCCTCGTGTGTTGTGTCTTGAGAGTAAGTAGGGAATGAGGGAAGTTTCGGCCCCAATAGCATGAGATTCCATTAGAGTTTCAGCCACCCTCATTACCTGCAAGTCACACCAGTCAGGTCGACGGGGCATGCATTGGCGGCCTTTTTGCTGCGTATGTTCATCGCCTGCCTCTCACCCTGAAGGACTGAGCCTGGGCCGGCAACGCGGCAAAGAGAAGATGGCCGCCATGGGGAAGCATCAGTGACACCAGGGAAGACCATTCTCAATGTGGCGATGTCCATGGGATGAAAATGGTAAGACGTGTCAGGAACAAACTTTCCTAGATCAACTCTAAGGCATGCCGACTTCATCCCTTTATAGATCTTTAAAACATTGTGGCATTTCGTCCTGGCAAAGCAAGTAGAGCTCCTGTTACCCGTGCAAAACAAACGTTGGACGGCAGTTGCACGGCTCACGTCGGGCGTCGCCGATGCCCCACTCTCATCGACTGACTTGTCTGATGTTCCACAAACCCCAAATGGAAGAGTTCAAATGAAGAGTTCTTCAAAATCACCTCTTAAATAGACAAATCACCTCAAAATCACCTCAAATCACCTCAAAATCACCTCTTAAAGAGACAATCTGAACCCACCATCTATACTGTTTATAGGTGCTTCCAACTTGGGTCTATCAATTGGAGACATCGGTCCGCGCTCCGCGCGCTCCGCCTCCACCCGGCCTCGCTACTGCTCCGCTCCGCGAGGGCTGAAGGTCCGAGGCACCCTGGAAAACAGCTTTGCTTCGCGTTCCGTATATGGCGTCCCTGTAACACTACGTTATATAATAACAGTACGTTTATACAGTTATACCGTTAACGTTTAAAAGAAAGAACCAACAAAAACACAACATGGCATACCTGGAGCCTCCAAGTAGACACATCCAAGTGTACATCCAAGTACCATGAAAGGGTCCTTTTATCCCATTTGCTTTGGGGGAGGTCTTGTCACTTGATTCGTTTACCTATTTTGTGCTTCCCTCTTTCTAGTGGAGAAACAACATGCATCATCGCTGACTCTCTCAGAGGCGCGGAACATGCGCTCATCCAAATTGGGTGGAACAGGTCTCCAAAACGTTGGTTTCACTGCTTGCATCTGGGTTTTGACCATTCAAAAATGGTTGAGCTGGTGATGTCGTGTAAAAATCCTTAGATAAAACTATATGGCGCTTTGGGATTCTGACCGTTAAATCAATGGTTGGCCGCGAATCCATCCACAGTGGCCGCTCTGGTGGCCAGCTCGTTCGAACGGGGCAAAGAAGTCCGACGAGCTGGCCCAGCTCCATGGGACCATCGAAACACGCACGGCCTGGAATCAACAAGTTATTAGTAAATCAGAACTGAACCCGAAAAAGGGACAACACTCTCAAGGCTTGACGGGTCTCTCAACTGATGATTCTATTGACCTATTGAGCTTCCGACTGTGCGAAAGGTCTGTGTGTTAGACTTGTTTGATAAAAAGAGGCCAACACTTGGCCAAGATCCAGCCCTAGGGATCCAAGTACCTTCTCACATAACCTCACTTGGATCCCTAGGGCAGGTCTATGCTCAAATATCCCAGACACTCCATATGTGGCATAGATGCCACCCAATTAGCTTCTGAAAGTCCCTGGATGTAGTTACCTATGCCAGCCCCATGGGTCGCAGGTCGTGTCTGGGAAAACCACGGGTTGGCCACCCATGCCTCCAGCCCTAGGGATCCTGTCATACCTTCTCAGAAGGTATGACTGGACACTCCTGGCACCTACATAACACTGTTGAACACATCACCGTACCTGAGGTTCGGTACGACTGGATCCCGACTGGGCAGGGTTGATCCAAGGCACGGAGAGGAGAGGTTCTTCAGGGATCCCGGTGATGCCATGACCTCTTCCACCTCCGGAAGCCCGCGCGAAGCGCCGATCCGTCGCTGACCGCGGGCCGTGCGCGAATCATTGACAAAACCGTGGCCATATGGAGTGGAGAATAGGAAGCAAAAAGGTGGTGAAGGTGAATGGACCAACCTCAGAACATGGGCACATGGTCCACGAGTACCTATACATGTCCCATTTTTCTAGTCGACCAACTGCAGGGTCACGCGGCACGGGCGTCACATAGGTTGGTTGTCACTATGAAGCCCCTTTGAAACGCCAATATGGCCCCAACAGGTCGTGCCTGCAGTACGGAAAAAAAACACGTCTTCGATATGCATGCATATAGATACTACGTAGATATCTATGCAATCAGGTTGCTGCACTGATTGATGCAACATGATGCATCCAGAAAGTCACCATTTGGGAACCAAATTCATCCAAGTTCTCAGTAACCCCCCAAGTCACATGGGCTTCCGTCCGACGGCCCTTGGGGCCGTCGTACCTGGACCTCGGACCCAAGCATCGTACCAGGACAGCATCGTACCTCCTTTTGGTTCGGGTCATGTCTCCTGCTTTGTCTTGTTCTATACCCAGACACTCCATGGGACTGCCATATATGCCTACATTGACCCCCCAAACCACCCCAATGTAGGCATATATGGCAGTCCTATGGAGTGTCTGGGATAGGGTACAAACAAAGTCGACTTACTGCTCACTCAGGTTGCAGGTCGCATCTGTGTGAGCGAGTCTAGAGAGTCCTCTTCGAGCGGGATTCAGGTAGCCATGCCCGCAGATATGGCTGTGTGTTAGAATAGGGAGACCTTGGAAAGACCCGCTGGAAAAGAGACCAAATTATTTGCAAAACGCCTTGGTTGGCGCTCTCCCTATTAAAATGTTCACCCATATTGACCTGTAGAGATTGGTCCTTGCTGCCCAGACGCAAAGTCCAGACCCTTCTTTCAACGGAACTGGCATGGAGGGGTCCAATCTTCAAACGCCATGGGACTTCTGATGACTTCAGACTTCGAAGGTATGACTGGACATGTCACAGTGTGTCCCTGTTCACCTAACTACTGAGGTTCGGTATGAAAACGGAGCCCAGTCCCGGGAAGGTCACATCCACCATCCACCCCTCACCGACACCCCGACCCACCGAGGTCCCGCCACCTCTTCGTGGGGCGGATAGTAAAGGCCCGGAATCTGCGCCGCGGCAGAGAAGCGCTGCGGTGTGAAGAACAGGAGCAAGGCTGGGGGGGGCAAGGGGACCCAAGTAGCGCTTTGACACGTTGCCTGGAAACCTCCCAAAAGCAAACTTGCTGCATATTAATCCCTAGATCTCCAAAGTCTCCAATCACCTTCTGAGAAGGTATTTGGAGCCCTAGGGAATAGTTTTGGCAGATCAAAATAGATATGACTCCTGGTCAGGACGGCGCCTCACTTGCGCACACAACATTAGCTCACCTGTACACGCAGCATGTTCTTTAAAAAGGTAACTCACCTGTGCACACACAAATTGAGTTGATGTGATGTGTACATGACATGATTTAGGTCAGGTTAGTGAACACAAATGCTCACTTTCTGATTAAGTCTAGAGTCTAGATCTCTTGTTGGGGTGAGGTGGGTGGGGGAGGGGAAAAATGGTAAAAGAGGGTTCCTAGGACCTTTTCTGTTTAGTGTTGCCTTTTAGGATTTTGTTTTGGAGCTCAATGTGTGCTCCCTGCCTTTGATGTTTCTTCCTCTGGGGATTGTACGTTTTTGTTGTCCAAGACTTTCACTCTCCTGCTTAGGGTGTTGTGTCCTATTTCTGGGTTGGGGCTTATGGGTTGTAATTATACTGTGGTTACAGGTTGTAAAGTTTTATGGGTTCTAGTTATAACATAACCTTACGCTTTCCATGTTCCTCTGGGTTCCCACCAGTATTCAATGACACGGAGTTGTGTTAGACAAGGTTTGATTGTATCGTTCAGTTCATCCCTTGCTATTGATAGAAGAGTTAGGTTAATATATAATCCTATGGGATTGAAAAGGCACAGTTCTTTCATCAAAAAAGTGTTAGACAAGGTTTGATTGTATCGTTCAGCTCATCCATCGCTATCCCATGGCTTTGAAAAGGCACAGTTCTTTTTATCAAGAAAGGAAAACACGCGAAGGACGCCACAACGCGCGACGCACCGACACCCCAACCCCCAAGAAGTGCTCGATGTCATCCCTTCTGTCAAGACAGGATGGATGAATATAGTTAGATAGATAGAGAGATAGATAAACATACTTTATTATACACAATATAGTCAAAATTCACTTCCCTGATTTTCAACATTTGTCTAATCTCCCTATGAGTTGGGGAGAAGGCTGGGATGTCTGGCTTGAACCCCCCAAACATAGGGCACCCCGTGAAGTCACAGCTTTCTGTCCTTAGGACCCGTTGGATTCTGTAGGGCATGGAACAATCATGTGCTCTTTAGTACCATCCGTACAAAATTACAGCAGCAGTGCTGCCATTGAATCTCTGTCTACACATCCAAGCAAGGATATGATTCTCTAGAACATTTGGAAAATCAAGTCTCTGACCCCTGTTTGGACTCCCTGGGGGATGACATTTTTTTCTTGCTGGCCACCCTGATTGGTAAGTAGGAAGTATTTATTGTCAAAATGCGGCTGCACTTAAGGAAATCAGTGCAGTCCTTAGGGAGGCCGGTAGCGCTACCGACCTCAGTAAGCCCATGGCTCTCAATCAATGGGGCATGGTTTTTGCATTGATTTAAGCATCCCTGAAATATTTTCACCTGCATGGAGGCCTACTGTAGTCGGTAGCGCTGCCGACTGCACTAAGGGGAGGGCATACCAAGCCCTGTCACTTCTGAGGTGATTTCCTTAAGTGCAGGTATGAAACTTTGAACAGGTGAATTATTTTCAAATCTACGTTCGTATTGGGGGAGATTGTCGTCTATCAAAGGAGCCACTCATTCATTCATTCATTCTTTCATTCATTCATTCTTTCATTTCATTTCATTTCATTTCATTTCACTCATTCACCCATTCATTCATTCAGTCATTCATGTCATTTCATTTCATTTCGTTTCATGCCATGCCATGCCATGCCATTTCATTTCATTTCATTCATTTCATTTGATTCCATTCCAACCCATTCCATTCCATTGCGTTGCATTGCATTTCATTCATTTCATTTCATTTTATGTCATTTCATTTCATTTCATTTCATTCATTTCATTTCATTTCATTTCATTCACTTCATTCACTTCACTTCATTCATTCGTTTCATTTCATTTCATTTTATTTCACTTAGTCTCATTTCAGTTCCTTTCATGTCATTTCATTCATTTCAGTCACTTCATGTCATTGCATTGCATTTCACATTCCATTGCATGTCTTTTCATTTCATTTAAGTTCATTTCATTTCATTTTGTTTCATTTCATTTCATTTCATTTCATTCATTCATTCATTTATTTCATTTCATTCCAGTCCTTTTCATTCCCTTCAATTTATTTCATTCATTATTTGATTTCATTTCATTTCATTTCATTCATTTCGTTCATTTCAGTTCAGTTCAATTCAATTCAATTCAGTTCATTCATTCGTTCGTTCATTTTTTTCATTCATTAATTCGGTTCATTTCATGTCATTCTTTTATCTATTCATTCAATCAATCTGTCTTTTCATTTCATTTCATTCATTTCGTTTCATTTCATTCAATCATTTCGGTCGACGTCTGATTCCGTAACCAAACGGGCTGATTCGGTAACTATGATTCGGTAACCAAAAGCGCTGATTCGGTAACCAAAACGTCTGATTCGGTAACCAAAACCGCTGATTCGGTAACCAAAACCGCTGATTCGGTGACCAAAACCTCCTGATTCGGTAACCAAAACTGCTGACTCGGTAACCAAAACCAGGAAACCAAAACCAAAAACAGTTCCAAAAGAAGAAACTGATGACCCGGGTAGTAGTAGTAGTAGTAGTAGTAGTAGTAGTAGTAGTAGTAGTAGTA